AGCCTATGTGTGTGAATATCGCACCTCTAGTGTGTGTGTGAGTTCTGGACTTAGATGACATGAAAAATGGGCCAAAAATCCAATTTATAATGCTAAAACTCGAGTTGGGCCGGGTTGGCCCGGCTAGGTACCCATTTTGACTATCAACACTTAAAATATTCATAACTTTTCGCTCGGACCTCCGTTTTCTATGAGATTTTCGCCTACACGTTCATAAAGAGAAAATCTATAACGTCCTACAAAAATATTCCAGAAAAGATCTCCCAAAAAAATCCGTTTTACGTATCTATTTGATGTGATATTTTCCAAATCCTCTAATATATTCTTAAGAAATAAAATTCTAAAACTTCAGATCCAAACTCCCACTAAATCATAAGTTATATTTAACTCAATAATTAAATATACTAAGCAAATAATTGGGCATATTAGAAATTGGATGTTACACAAAATCATTCAGAGGGTTTTAAAATCATTAAGAAACATATTTTTTTGTTAAACAATATTCATCTCTTAACGATTCAGTAGTTGTCTCTGATTATATTATCAAGTCTTTTATGTTAGACAAAAAACAGTTTTAAGTGCTCTATCATATAATTGGGTGACTCACAATCCAACCTATTTGTGCTATTATTCCTTTATTGTCGGTCACACTTTGAGTCGAGTATATATTAAACCAAATCAAACTAAAGAAGGTTGGTTCTATTTTATTTGGTAGTATGTCTCTTACTTTAAAGAATATCTTAAATTAAGGGGCCATTAAGTTTACCAAATACTTACCCAATAAACGTCTTATTGGTAAAATTTAATACTATTATTTACTTATTGGGTAATATTTTAGTCCACCAAAATGGTAATGTATGCAACAATTTACCTGATAAGCATTTATTGTGGTAAGAGTCATCGTCCTCACTTACCGGGTAAGACTCTTGGTCCGTGTATCGCTCTTAAAGGGTAAGATTCTTGGTCATTATCATATTCATCTGGTAAGGTAATGTGACTTGGTGCTCACTACCCGAATAAGCGTTTGGTAAACGATCCCCTTAAATTAGATAATATATTATGACAAAATAAATTACAGACTTGTAGGAGATAATATTTAGATGTATTTTAGGTCTTAGGATTATAATCTATACTATATTATAAAAGATTTGACAAAAACTCTTAAAAATCATTTTTATGCATAAAATACTGTTTATTGATGCATATTACTTAAAATTCAGGATTACAAGTAAATTGTGCATAAGTACAACTTATTAAACCTCCATTTTTTAATTCATGTGACTAACTGTACATAAACATAATCATATACATGATAGCCATCACATTTTAAATATAAAAATTCTAAATTTTTTAAAATATAATTAGGATAATCATTGAGTTCTAATAGAATACTTAATTATTATCTTTATAAAAAATTATACTATTAAACTAAAAATAAATAGATTCATTATTAGACCTAAATTAAATTATAATAGAAAATTTGAATCAAAGAAATTACATAAGAAACGAGAATTTTTAAATAGTTAAATTGAATTTTTAAATAGTTAATTTGATACTGATATCGATATTTTTGTTTTCAAAATTTTAATTACAATAAAAACATTATCACTTTCTCAAAACCATATAAAACTGTATTATATCAATAAATAAAGAATAAAAGAAAATAATAAAATCGAGATATATCTCGCTACATTATACGAGTACCCTTCTAGTAATTAAACCATTAATGAATTTTGATTACTTAGAAAATAATAACAGAAACATACATCGTTGTGAAAAAAGGTTGCTACTCATAAAATGGTAATGGAAAATATTTCAATGAGGCCAAAAAATGAGTATTTTTATTTTATTTTTAATAATTAGCTTTATTGTAGCAGTTATAAAACTGGTTGTCTAATTCATAGATAATTAAATATTGAGGAATAAGACGAACGATCGTGTGAGAATGAGAGTTAAGATAAGAAGCGTAAAAAAAGATCTGGACTCTTGATCACCTTTAATCTCAAATCCACTCATGAATCGTATTTGATATGGGGATTGATCCGTTGCATCTCCTCTCGGTGCATCTCATCCTAATGTGCATCCAAGGATGGAGATCCTTTATTACACTTTTCACTTTAACTCTCCTTCTTACCAGAACCCAACCTTGATGAATAAAAATATGTCCATTTAAATATTTAAGCTAATTGTTATAACTTCAAATTGTAAGAGCATCTTCAATATTACTCCCTATATTTAAGCTAATGTAGGAATTAAAATACATAAAAGTTAGGGGCCGTTTACCAGACTCTTACCTGGGTAAGCGTTTACCAAGTAACGTTACCTCATCGGATAAATATGGTAAGGATCAAGAATCTTACCCGGTAAGAGCGAGACAAAGATCAAGAGTCTTACCCGGTAAGTGAGGACGACGACTCTTACCACGGTAAGCGCTTACCGGGTAATTTGTTGCATACGATATCGTTTTTGTGGACTAAAATCTTACCTGATAAGTAAATAATAATGTTAAATTTCACCGGTAAGCACTTAACGGATAAGTGTTCGGTAAACGACCCCTTAGTGTGAGTAGTAAACTAAAACAAAAACAAGCATTTGATATAAAAATTAATATTGAGAAATGCTTATATTTAAGACTTTCGGACATTTTAATAAATAAATCAAAAAAGGTATGATTTTGACGATTTATTGTATTTATGAGGATTATTTGATGTTAATACATTTATGATGCATTTTGAAAGTATAAATTGTTTCATTTTCATTTGGAGACGAATTATCCCAACAATGATGGATTTTGACCAAATCATATTTTTGAGATGAGTTTGCATAAACATTGAGTAAATGCATATTTTGACTTAATTTGACTTTTATTGAGTAGCCACATAAGTGTAGATTCTATTGGTTTGATTTTGGCTCAAATGAGTTGGAGACATTTGTCTCGTTTAAATTACTTAATGTTGAGTTTTGAACGTGTACCGCATTTATTTCACATTTATTTGAAAATTACATATTTTCAGTGTCTTGGTCATTCATTTGGAGCATGTGAGTTTAGACGTAATGCAATGGATCTAGGCACGTGAGTCGGTTGTGTGATGAGTGAGGAGTTTTGATGTTCTCACTCTGAGACCAGTGCTTGAGTAAGCATGGTCATGTCGGTAACGTGGAGAGGACACATGTGGGGTTGGACTTGGGACCACATGTATTGCGGAGGTGAACTCAAATAAGTCGGACTTTGGGACCCTTGTTTTGAGGCATTTGGCCTAGTTGAGTAGGCATTAAGGACTTGAGCCTTGAGGTGCTATATCGAGAGATAGACACTAAGGTCATGCGCCATGAAGTAAAACGCCAAAGAGTAAACACTAAGATTATTGAGTCTTGAGGAGCTACCCGGAGTGGTAGGCACTAAGAACCATGAGCTTTGAGATACTACCCAATGAGGTAGGCACTAAGGGCATAAGCCTTAAGGTGAAACTCAAATGAGTAGGCTCTAAGGTCTACTAAATCTTGAGGTGCTACTTTTGACGAATATAAGTTTCCCCCGTCAACAAAAGGTGTTTCTGATAGTGCATTTTATCCATGTTTTCGATGTTGTTTTGGGGTATGGAGTGTATCCATAGTTTATGGTTTTGATATATTGGATTTTATCCATGTTCTGTGGTTTTGGATGATAGAATTTATCCATGTTTTCAATATTTGAATATTATGGCGTATTTACGTTTTGAGTGAGTATTGGATTTTGGTTTCCTATCTAAATAAGGGTTTTAATCAATGAGTTCTCATCACGAAAATGATAGACTTTGGGAAAGATATTGCTTTATGGTAAAAACATTTCATTTTGGGAAATTATGATTTAAATATTTGTATCGTTTAACATTAAAGATGAAAACACTTTGTACCGTTTAACATTAAAGATGAAAACTAACAGACTAACACTCTTTTTTTATCAGTGTGTGCATCAGGTTCTTGTTGGAATGATACTAGTTGCACTATTAAGAGCTAAGTGCTAGTTAGAGACTCATGGAGAACTTGAATATTTAGAATGTTTGCACGTTGAAGATAGCAACTTTAGGTGTAAATTATAGTAACAATGGTCTTAATCTAGTTTCATCCAAATTTAGATTCTAAGTCGTTGACTTTGACTTTATTGTAACCTTTTTTTTAAGTATATAATATTTATATACGACAAATGCAACAAATAAACTCACACACCCTTCTCATTTATGATGAGGTTTGAACCCTTGACCTCCTAGAAGGCCAAGGGCTACGATACCGCTAGGCCAAAGGCCCTTTCGTTGACTTTGACTTTATTGTATCCTTGTGTGTAAGTATAAATAAGTTTCGAGAGAATTTGTATTGACTTTAATGTTTTATCGAAATTTTTTAATTAGTCGATCTTTTCAGATTTTAGGGTGTTATACAACTCAATTTAATGTTTGCGGTTTAAAAAATCTTAACCCAACCCAATTCAAACCATACGGGTTGAATTGGATTCAGTTGTCAGGTTGAAACTTTATTATGATATTATATAAAATGATATGACCCAAAGAGAATATGCCAATAAGCAACTACCATTTTGGATGTTTCCAACTTTGATGTTTTCATTCACCTTATCAAACAGTTACCCAGTAAGTGCTTACCGGTAAAATTTAACACTATTATGTACTTACCGGGTAAGATTTTAGTGCAACAAAACCACATAGTATACAACAATTTACCCGGTAAGCACTTACCGTGGTAAGAGTCGTGGCTCTCACTTACAAGTAATACTCTTGGTCCTTGTCTAGCTCTTACCGGGTAAGATTCTTGCTGCTTACTATATTCATCCGGTGAGGTAATGTTACTTAGTAAGTGCTTATCCGGGTAAATTCGTCCATTTCAACTTAGTCATTCAGGCAAACTTGGAGCCCAAAAGAGCTCAAATGGTACCATCTCATTTTACAAATCTTAATCGCACCCAATATTGCATAAACATCTTATAGGAAGAAGCTTCATTCAGGAGAAGAGTATGTATAACTTATTTTGTATATAGATTTCATAATTAATGGATTATGTAAATAAATAACAAATGATTGAATTAGGCGAAATCGGGCATTACCCTTCTAAGGAATGCAATTGGGTGGGATATCTCGGGAGCAATTTCTTCAAATGAGATGTAATTACGTTCCTTGTCGTAGACATGGCAGATCGTTAGGATCGTCTTCATTAGACGCCAGTTCCATGAGGCCTCATTCATATACTGCAATAACAACAAACCACCATTCTATTAGGATCACATGGTCATCAGGGCCGTTCTTTAGCATGCTAAATATGTGATTTTGAACAGGGTCCCAAAATTTTGTGGCCAATTTTACATTGTTTAGGGACTTTCATAAACGAATATAAAGTATAGTCCACCTCAGTGCCTCACTAATTTCTGTCATAAGAATAAGGTCATAGGCCTTATCATCACATTTGTAATTTCTATATATGTATCTTTGTTATCTCATTTTGCAGTGTAATCAAAAGCTTTAGGTGTAACAGGGCCTCCAAAAAGATTGGAATGTCCCTGATGGTCATTCTATTCTATCAGGAAAACATGTTGAGAAGATGATTGTAGTCTTACTTTTCCCCAATTCTGTTGAAGAGATTTATGAGCTGCTCGCAAATTGTAACTTGGAATCCTGGAGGAGACATGGTGTGGGATATGAACGTTGATATCATGACAAAGGATCTCTATCCTGTACCATACAAAACAATAAGTTTTTAGTTTAAATTTGAATGCAATTAATCATCAGGGTTTTTATCTAAACAGAAGATTACCAACGAGGATAATCACAGTGCACGGTGCCACCAAGTTGTGCCTTAGCTGCATTCCACTCGTCCGAGGATTTGAAAGGTATGTGAGGTGCCGTGTGGTGAACCATTGTGAAAGTGCTCATCTGCAAATGAAATTAAGTTTCTTCATTGATTTGCTATAATAACAGATATTACGGATTCTTGAAGAAACAAACAAATGAAGACGAGAAGGTAGTATCTACCCAAAAATGATAGCCCAACCACGGCATTAACCAGAACTTTATCCATCCAACTATCCCCGTCTTGTACACAATTAATGGCCATCCGATTGCCATGAATGCAAAAACACAAGCAAGACTGATCTTTACTCTCCCAATTTCATTCGGTCTGAATTTATTCAAATGGAAATGCCAGATTAACCTGAAAAGATGATAGATATAAAATGGGGATCAAACAATATGTGGATTACTTTAATCACGGACGATTACCAATGTGAGATGGACATGATGGGGCGAATAGGACCATATCCGAATATGATTGCCTTCTGGAAAACTGGGTTCTCCTTAAAATGTGTTTCCAGTACAGGATGCCAAGCTGTATCTTCATCCAACCTACAATTTCAAAGAATGTACAGAGATGAAGCTTGGTAAGTTGCTGCATATGGAAAAAGATGCACTCGTTTTATTTAAGAAAGCATCAACTTTAGCCATGTTACAACAGGTTACTCTAATCTAATACATACATACAAATATATATATATATATATATATAGAGAGAGAGAGAGAGAGAGGAGGTTCAAAAGAGAACAGGGTCAAAATAAGAGTACACGAGACGACCAAATCATATGTGATTACAGAACATGGTCTATGCAAGGGATAGGGGTGTGTGCGCGACTTGGCTCGCAACCTAGATCACGGCCAAGGTCGTGCAAATCACATGTAATTTTATACGTGATTTTAGCATAAAAGCACATGATTTGGCCGTTCTCGCGTTTTCTTATTTGGTTGTTCACATTTGAACCTGATCCAATATATATATATATATATATAGAGAGAGAGAGAGAGAGAGAGAGGGGAGAGAGGGGGAGGGAGGTTCAAGGGAAAACCCTAAAAAAATGAAAAACCGAGGAACACATTGCTAACCCATTTGGACAGTATGTACATATGCATACAAGTAACTGAAGTTGTTTCTTGCATGTTATGCACGTGTGCATACTGGAAAAATTACTTACAAATTACTTGTATGCACATGTGCATAATGTTCAAATGCAATTAGCAGAGTGTTCATCAGTTTTTCATTTTTTGCGGTTTTCCCCTTAACCTGACCCTATATATATATATATATATATATATATATATATATATATATATATAAATGCTTAAATATGTCCACTATCTTCATGTTTTATACTTAAAATTTGCAACATTTCTCTCTTTGGAGGATTTTCCAAGCTATAAAGTTCACCCATCATCATCCAAAAGTATCGAGTATGGTGCTTTTGGAAAAAATTCCCTGTTTTGTAATTAGTGAAGGATATTTAGACCATTCAACTTATAACTGAACACTTCTGTGTAATGGTGTGTCCAATCGAACTTTTGTAATTCTACAGGAAAGTGAAAGTCACTACATGCAATTACATTTATAATCAAACCAAACTAATCCAGTGGGCTAAGATGTATACAGACCTGACTTCTACTACATGCAATTATATATTTTGCAAATCATCTCGTCTTGAAATACCAACTACCATTTTTATGCGTTCTGAAGCTAAATGAACTTGCAGAAAATTTATATAAGATAATTTCGTAATAGACTTTTAATAGCCATAAACTGACTCTGATTTTGAATGGAGGGATTCTAAGTCGCGTTGGCCCATAATAACATCTACTAGAGGCTTTTGGGATCTCCTTATAATTGGAAGTCTTCTGAAAGTGAATCGACAAATATACTCTTAAAAGTGGCAATAATGACGATCAACCACTGAACACGTACACATCTTCTCAATCCTTATATATCCGTTCAACCAGATAAAAATGGATAAATTCACTAGAAGCTAAAAGCAAAAAAAAATGAGGCTATTGTAAACGAATACCGTGGTAATTTAAGCTATTTAAACCTTGCAGTAGAAGTCAACTAACAGGACAAAATTAGAAGATGATATCATACATACATGTTTGTTTTTGCATGATGTCGATCATGCTTGAAGCGCCATGGCTCATAAGGGTATATTAATGGCAGGAAGGCCAAAGTTCCAACAATATCTTCCACCAATTTGTTCCTTGAGAAAGATTTGTGTGCACAATCATGACCTATTACAAAGAACTTTTGAGGAAAACAAATGACAAAGAGAAAGAAACTTTAGATTAATTGAAGGATACGAAGAAATGCAAAAACAAAAAAGAAGAAAAAAACATATGATGTACAAAATCTAGGATACAGAATTGGAAAAAAAATGCACCATGGATTCAGGAAATCACTCAAATCTTAATCCCTTAAAACAATTACATGAAACAAAATTTGCGAAATAAAACTAGCTACTGTGGTGATACCGTCAATAAATTATGTGTCTGTGTTCAGCTGTGTTATTAGAGCAAATAGAAAATAAAAGGTAACAAATCATAGCTAAAAGAAAATTATTGTTTACCCCTGTAACTGCAGTCCCTGTCCAAGCCCAAGCCAATGGAAGAAGATACCATGGGGATTTGGCAATCATGAAAAGCCCCAAAGCATATGAAGTTGCAGATATCAATACCGACTTCAATGCTTTCATGTCATCGATCTCAAACACCTTTCAAAAAGTTAAAGCTAGCATTAGATATGAACAGATTAGAACCATGGTGACCAATGCCTCAAGCCCCATGGTTTGGCTATGCAAAAAGGATAACCGATCTATATCTATGATATAAGGATATGATTTCATGACACGTTGAAACAAGGATTTAGCGAATCTAAAAATATGAAACAAGGATATGTTCGTGTGTGGGTGTGGGTGTGGGTGTGGGTGTGGGGTGTGTGTATACACACATATATAGGGCATGGTTCCCGTGAAACCAACCATTTTTCATGAAACACACTGCAGATCCTTGTGTGTTTCCCATGAAGGATTGGTGTGTATTCATGTAAAGGTTCGTTTTTTTTTCATGTGGAGGTTTGGTGTTTTTTCGCTTTTAGAGTCCGGTGTTTTGCTGTAAAGGTCCGGCGATGTCAAAAAAGTAACTCATCCAAGGTCTCACAAAAACTAAACCGATGAAAGAATGGATTTTCTCATACCTCATCCATTAAAAATGTATAAAACAAACACATCTTAAATTTGAGCATTATCTTGCTTTTATTTGTAATTAGAGGCCCATACTAAGGGGCCGTTTACCCAAATGCTTACCCGGTGAGCGCTTACCAATAGGAGTCAACACTATAATTTATTTTGATGCGTAAGATTTTAGTATATCAAAACATATCGAATACAACAATTCACTGGGTAAGCGCTTACTGGGTAAGAGTCGCTATCCTCACTTACCGGGTAAGACTCTCCATCCTTCTCATCGCTCTTACCCCGTAAGATTCTTGGCCCTTTTCATGTTCATCCAATGAGGAAATTTATGCGTTAAACACTTACCAAGTAAGTGTTTCTGAAATATGGAGAAACCTTTCTTGCAGCATTAAGACATAAGTTATACCAAATATTTTTAAACTTAATTTCTAATTTTATAATTTGTGAATTCTAATCTCTTCTGTTAAAAAAAGAGCCCAAATATGCCCCGCTCATATCCTTCAAAATAGTGGTCAATAACGTGGGGACATGGTCAAACATCAATCTTGCCTGATATGAGCATTCAACATGGTGTCAGGCCACCCTTGTTTCCTACATGTATTTCTCAGAAATACTGATGCTAGAGGTCAGTTTTGCGTACACCCTACCCTTCCAAGACCCTACTCCATGTGAGATTCACGGGGTTCGTTTGCTTTGGTTTTTACTCGTGAATGAAAAGTCAAGTATTCAACTAGGCGGTATAGAAAGGATAATAAGTAGTACAGTTTTGGGAAGAGTGTCAATAATGTTCTTCAATGTGATATTATCCGGGAGTGGTTCTCCAATTTGCCGGAAACCATAACTTTCACATAATTCTTTCCTCCGTTCTGCACTGTCTGCTGGTAATGGTGCTGTAACAGGACTAGACGCTGCTTGTACTATTTTAGTCCTTCTCAAGGGGATTACATATCTTTGATGCTTGGCTTTACTTTGAGATAGAACGTCCCACTTCAAATATGATGTGCCTGTATATCAAGGAAGTATAACACATCACATATTGGTTAGATAAAGTTAAATACAAATAGTTGAAAACGTCAATATATGCAATGTTATTATGTCAACAATGAAGTCATTTGATGGTAGAATATGCAGCCATAAGTACGCATGAAATACACAAAATACAAAAAGAAAAACATCAAAACTTAATGAGTACAATTACATGATTAAATTCTATATTAATATATATTACAACAATTGCACCTAAGCAAGAGAATAGAATTACTAGAAAAGGACTCATAAAACTTATGTGTATGTAACAATTTCTATATGGTGCAATACACTTGTGGGTCAGTAGCACAGAGCAATCCCATTGTGGGCAAATCTAAGCATTCTTTATGTCAACCTCTCTCAATGTGTTTTTAGACTTGTTGCTTCTTAACCATTTGGTTGTTTATAGTCATGAATATCGGATAGAGGCTTTCAGTACCTTCATTACCAACTTTCACCTTCAAACCACTAAGTTCCCTAAGTAAGAAATGCATTTCACTTTAAAATCAAATAGGTAATGCTTCAAATTTTATATCATTGTGAATTCTGTTATGAAAGAAAAAAACTGATATCTTAATTGGACTTTATGCTGAAAAAAAATATCTGAATGGGGACCCATCCAAATCTATACTTTTCAGTCACTTATCTCATGAATTGATAAGATGTCCACTTACCTTTTACCCTTAAAAGAATCTGCATGGGCATTATTTGGTTCAACCAAATATATAAAACTATAAAAAGATCACACACTTTTTGTTTTTTGTATTTTAATCACTTGCTTCATGTTTTTCTCCAGAAAACTTACGACTACAAATCACATTTTAACTCCCATCTTCAAACCTTTAAGGATAACTTGTGAAAAAGAATAATATAGTTTTATGGGTTTTGAACTCCATTATTCCTTTTCATCATTTCCCCTTAAACGCTTGCATTTTCAATCTCTAATACATGTTGTATTTTATAGGAGAAAACCCAATTTGGTACAATGTAATTCATAACAATAAGATGAGAATTTTGGGAACAAATTTAAATTCTGATAAATGGAACAAAAAGTAAAAGGTGAGTGACCAAAGCAAATATTTGATGAAACTTGGGTGGCCATTCAACAATAGCGACCAACAATAGCACATAAAAGAGTCAAAGACCTTCCAGCTTAGTGGTAAAGGCTTGGGCATGGCATAGTCATGAACCCAAGTTCGAGCCCTGGGAGGGGAGTGTTGGCGACATTTAAGTGGGGCCATGTTTAGCCTCCAAAATTGCCGGGGATTAGTCGGGCATTAGCCCGGACACCCTTACAAAAAAAATAGCACATAAAAGAATAGGTAATTGTATTGATTTTGTTAGGTTAGCGACCAAGATTTTTTTAAAGCCAAGTGAACATACAAATATTTAATGAAACCTGGGTGGCCATTCAACAATAGAGATAAAAATTAGCACATAAAACAAAGGTAACCATTCATACTATCGACTTCTGTTAGGTAAGTGACATAAATATGAATTTTGTCAAAGTGGCATAGATATGGATTCTGTGAAAGTGACATAAATATGGATTTAGTCAAAGCTAAGGACCATAAACATATCTCTTTTCACCTTTGGTTAATATTACAAATAGAAATAGTTTAATTGCCTAAAAGATCATAGAACTTAAATGACATTTTGTCCATCTACTTCTGAAAATTGTATAAAAATCCATAGACATTTACCCTCTATTTTGCCCATGTGGTGACAAATACTTAAAGTTAACCTGCACCATTTCACCATTTCGCTGCTTATTTGTATTTCTGTTCTAATTTTAATGTTCTGTCATTTTTGTAATTATCATCATTATTATTATTATTATCATTTCCTTTTACTTTGTCCTCTAGAGTTGTTATTACTATTATTATTTTCTTTTACTTTTAGTTCACCATTCCAATTCTATTTACCTAATAATTCCTCCCTCCATCTAGAAAAATGCAACATTTGACTTGACGTGTAATTTAATAAAGCTTTTAATAAATAATCAAAATACCTAAAACACCTCTTAACAAGACCAAATTTGAGAAAATGTGAAACCATAATCAATGTCACAAATATAATTTTTGCTAACGAACAAGGTGGTAAATCTGCATTTGAATCTTTCTTCCACAAAAGAAAACCTCTTATATTGGGACACCCAAAATAAACAAAAAATATTGTTTTTCTTTAACAGATTGAGTAGTGCATACGATTTATTTGTCAATTGTTTTCGATTTCTATATTTACTTATTTTGATCCTAAAACGAGCTTGCTATTTCGGCCTTAGATTAGAAGTTCTGTTTTGGGCATGAAATATGTACTAATCAATATACAGACTTGAATAACAACATATCCAATTTGAAAAATCAAAAACAATTTTAACAAATAGTGTGATTATCAGTACGCATGAAAGGAGTTGCACACCTAGATTTAAAGCCAAACAGTTATGGTTTATGGTACAAAAAGAATAACTAAACAGAAAGTATGGAAGTAATGAAAATATAAATGTATGAACTATTAAAAAAATAACTTTTTTAAGATAACATATGAATTATAAAAATAAAATGGAATGGAATGCAAAACATGATTGTAAATAAGGAAACAAATAAATTAGGCAAAATACTAAGAAAATGAAAAGCAAGAGTAAAAAAAGGCATTATGGTAAATAAAGTCCCATTTTTTGGAATTAAACTGAAGAGTGGAGGACAGTTTTGTAAGACAAACAGCCACCAAATAATAGAGTACCAGAGCAATGCAGCGCAATACATCTCTACTTCGTCTCTCTAAATTTTATTTTACAGATTTGTGTAGTTTTTGGAAGAGCGAGAAAGTTTTATGTTTATTAGTTAGTTATGAGTTAGTTTTATAAAGTTCGAACATATTAATAATTTGTATGTATATAATAATAAGTTGTGAATGTTGTATAATATAGTAAAAATATTGTATGAATATACTCGTTATTAGAATTTTGAAAACCATGTTTAAAAAAATGAAAAAAAAAATATCAATATGGGTATCAAATGAAATAGAATAAAATACACGTTCGTTGATATAATTTGTTTGATTAAAAATTAATTATAATTAAGACAATTTAGATTTTTTCTAAATTGATATAGATCTGTGGATTTCCAAAACTTGATTCATTCACATGGAAAGAGTAATATGAGTTTCCACAAACCCTTCAAGCTTCCCATTCTTATTGCTCACAAAAGGGATAAAATAGGAATATTACAAAATTTGAAAATATTGTATGCATTATTGATATATACATAATGCTTCAACACTTGTATGTTTAAAAAGTTAAGTTTTTAAGAGCTAAAACCTAAATGCTTTATAATCTAGTATAGATATGGGACTAATGTTTCATGATCTTTTAGCTAATTACTTCAACAGAACAAAGTTAGTTGGTGTCTTCTCGGAAACAACATCTATGTCTCTTGAGAAATATGTAAGGTCTACATACATCTTACCCCCCGACACTACCTCCAGGTGGGATATATTAGGTTTGGTTTGGTTTGGTTTGCTTTAGTACAACAACGTTACCATTACTAACAATAAATTTTATATCCACTTCGAATTTCTACAGTATTATTGTTGGAATCTGATGATATGGCAGTATGGCACTAAAAGGAGTCATCGTCCCGTAATGGAATCTGAACCTGAGGACAGCCCAGGTGCCAAAAGACCCCCCCTACACCAAAGACATCCCTAGAACCAAAGATATCCGTTAAAAATCTTCTGAGGAACATGGAGTACAAGTCCATCCCTTGTCAGCCTATAAACAAGTGAAATAATGGCAAAAAGGACCTCCACCACTTTTAGCATACTCTTACTTTAATTAATTATTTCTCTTTCTACTTGCTCTTAATCTCTAACCAAAGTGTCAAAACTAGCTGTCTCACTCCCACAGCTGAAATGTCCCTGCAAAAAGGGGTAAAGTTTCCACAACAAAGTCTCTAGTTCAAATACGGCCACATCATCCTGAGGACACTGCAATTCACCTCCCTCGTGATAACCGTGGACCGTTAAGGTTTGGCTGCTCTAGAGGACTGCACAAACCCTTTTTCCAACCGAGGCACACCGAACGAGTTATAAAGCTTTGGCAATTCCGGTCTCACATGTAGTAAGAGCAGTCTATTAGGAGGGGCAAGATTCAATATCATCAATTATGTCTGACATCAAACAAGCAAAATGCAGGCCTGTTTACAGTATGATTGTATGAACTATGAAGGCGTATATATCTATAACCACAAAGCCCATGGCAACTATCATCAATACGGATAAACAAACCTCAAATGTTGTTTTACAAACAGACTATGCACAATAATATAATGAAACCCCATTTTTTTCCAAATTAAACAAACAAACATTACAAGAGGGTTTGCATTTCCCATACCTGCTGGATACAGTGACCCAAATCTCTGCCCATATATTGGCTTTTGTTGGGGACCCTAAAATTCAAAAATTAACCATGAATATCAAATTACGTCTAAAATGAGATGACACAAACCAATTGAACCCATAAATTGGTGTTTACCTTCAAAAGGAAACTAGAGTCTGCGAGTCTGCAAGCCATTGGAAGAAGAAAGCGGTAAACCCCTCCCACGACCCTCTTCTCCCCTTTAACGGATAGAATGTAGTGCCGTCCCCTCACAGAAAGGCTGTGTTTTCAAAGGTGAAGAACGGAAGCAATTATTTATATCCTCCCTATTTTGAGCATTTAAATATTTAATGTAATTAAAATATTACTTTTTTTCCCCATATTTTTAATTTTAAGGATTTTTGTTGATTAAAAAATAAATTTATTATATATTATTTTTATTTTTATTTTTATTTTTATTTTTATTATGTATATGCATTAATACTAGAATTTTATATGAGTTATTTAAATACTTTTAAAAATGACAAATTTGAAAATTATTTTTAATGAACATGATATAAATATAAATTTTGATTAAATTTAAATTGTTTCAGTAATTGTAATATTATTAGAGCTGTAAACGAACCGAACGAACACGAACGGAGGCGTTTTCTTGTTCATTCGTTTGACTTAACCGAATAAACGAACGGACACGAACGGTTAACGAACAAAAATCTTTGTGTTCGTGTTTGTTCATTTAGAAATCAAGTGTGTTCGTGTTCATTTATGTTCGTTCGTTAACATGTTCAACGAACGGGCTAAACGAACATAAATAAATATTATTTGAATTCAAACTAAATAAACAAAAGATTATATATTAAATTTAATATATAAACGAATGTAAATGAACAGTAAATGAACGAACGTTCACGAACATAAATGAACGAATGAGACTCTTGTTTATGTTCGTTCGTTTAACTAAACGAACAAAAAAAATTGTTCGTGTCCGTTCATTTATTAAATAAACGAACATAACGAACTTCTCATCGAACGGTTTGCTGAACGTTCGGTTCGTTTACAGCCCTAAATATTATATTTGAAATCATGTTAAAAATATAATGTTTTAAAAAAAGAAATTATTTTTACAATAAGTAGTATTTTAAATTTCTTAGGTTATTTTAATATTATCAAAATAATATAATATGAAACAGTTATAAATTTATTACTTTAAATTTCTTGATTATTATTTTGTATATACTCCTAATCAAAATGTTACAAATAAAAATTTATGTTTGAAATTTATTGAATAAAATTAAAAAAAAAATTAAATAATAAAAACTAATAAATGTAAAAAAATAATTAGATTTTATTATAAAGCATTTGACAAAAACTCTTAAAAATCATTTTTTGTTGGATGATGGTTACCATTCAAGTATTCAGGCAGCATCTTTTGAGGTTCTGTAAGGACGCAAATGTCGAACTCCTTTATGTTGGAACGAAATAGGTGAGCAACAGTTAGCTGGGTCTGAATTGGTTCAGCAAACTGCAGATAAAATTGAAGTAATACGGGAACGAATGAAAGCGGCACAAGCTAGACAAAGAAGTTATGCAGATAAACGTCGGAAGCCGATTGAGTTTCAAATAGGTGATAGAGTAATGTTGAAAGTATCACCTTGGAAATGAATAGTACGTTTTGGAAAAAGAGGGAAATTAAGTCCAAGATATATTGGACCATTCCTTATTATTGGAAAGATTGGAGAAGTTGCCTACAAATTAGAACTTCCTTTGGAACTAACTGGAATTCATGACACGTTTCATGTGTCAAATTTGAGGAAGTGTTTAATAAGTCCAGATGTGGCAGTACCATTACCTGAAATTAAGGTAGATGAGAGATTATGTTTTGAAGAAACCCCTAAACAGATTATTGACTATAAAGTAAAGAAGTTGCGAAACAAATAAATTGGGTTAGTAAAGGTTCAGTGGCGTTATCATAAGGGACCAGATGCCACCTGGGAATCAGAGTCTGAGATGCATATGAAGTATCCCCACCTTTTTGCTTAAATGGAATTCCGGGACGGAATTCTTTTAAGGAGGGAATGTTGTAATATTCGGGTTATTATATTGGATTTAATAATTTAAATCTTTATGTTTATATGAATATTTTATATAGAAGTGTGTGGGTGTGGGTGACGTGGTTATGTTAGCCGACCTTTGAGGGGCGGTCTATGTTTATCTGAATATTTTATGTAGAAGYGTGTGGGTGTGGGTKACGTGGTTATGTTAACCGACCTTTGAGGGGCGGTCTATGTTTATCTGAATATTTTATGTAGAAGCGTGTGGGTGTGGGTGACGTGGTTATGTTAGCCGACCTTTGAGGGGCGGTCATACACTTACTATAAATAGCAAGTGTATGTGAAAGAAAAAAAAAGCTTAGCACACCTTTGAAACACTTTCTATATTAGAAAAGACTCCTTGGTGAATCATACGGATTGGCAGAAAAAAGAAGAAGAGAATTCAAAGCTAAGATATCTTATTTATAAGGTGAGTGTATTAAAGCTTTGAGTATAAATTGTTTACATACAATTTAGTAGTATTTGGAACTGGTCATTATGAATATAATATGTATGTGGATTATCTGTATATGGACAATAAACCGTTCAAGTGTTGTCCAGACTTAATTCTAAATCGGACAAGAGGTGATCGGTTCTCTGGTTGGTCATGTCTTTTGAAACCAGAGGGGCTCTGGTCGAATATGTTGAAATATATGTCAAGTCTGGTTAGTTAAACCAGTGGCTCTGGTTGTGAAACCAGAAGCTCTGGAAGAGAGACCAAAGGGGCTCTGGTAGAGAGACTAGAGGGGCTCTGGTAGAGAGACCAGAAGGGCTCTCGTCGAATATGTTGAAATATATGTTGTCTAGTTAGTTAAACCAGAGGCTCTGGTTGTGAAGATTAGAAGCTCTGGAAGAGAGACCAGAGGGGCTCTGGTAGAGAGACCTGAGGTGCTCTGGTCGAGTATGTTCAAATATATATTCTAAGTATGGTTTGGAACCAGAGGCTCTGGTCGTGAAGACCAGAAGCTCTGGAAGAGAGACAAGAGAGGCTCTGGTAGAGAGACCAGAGGGGCTCTGGTCGAGGATGTTAGAATATATTTTAAGTCTGATTAGTTCAACCACCGGCTCTGGTCGTGAAGACCAGAAGCTCTGGAAGAGAGACCAGAGG